ATGGATTTCCACAGCATTCATGTTTCTAGTGTGAAGAAAGCAGATAAGAGCACGAATTTTGCATCTTGCAGGATAAGGAATCATTAGTCACTCTGTAGAGACAGGAACAAACACTAGGTGACCAGTTATGTGATGGTTTACAAACCAATGAGTCATGTGATGCTACCTAACAGTCACATTTTACTCTAATTTGACATAGTGCAATTGAAAAGAATCGTCTAACTTTAAGCACAAAGTCTGAAACAATTCAAATCCCAAAAATTCACAAGATCATATTTCAAAACCTATCTTGAATTATGTGACATCTTCAGGACTGCCTCCTCACACAAAATGAGACTGCACTGTACATACATTTTGCTCTTATATTTTTGGTAGGTATGCAGAAGGCCTATAAGGTCTCAAAATAATCATAAACTAATATTTGTATTAAAACCTCTTTATAATACTCCTAAATCCAGAGAGTACTAAAATGTTATTACACAGTAGTCCTATCTTATCTTGACTTGAAATCCAATCCTGTTATGTATTTCACCCTTTCATTTTCAGGTCCCCTTAGTCTTAGTTCAACATTTATGAATTCATGTTCAACTCATTTAACAGAAGGTATATAATTCAAACAAAATACACTAAAATCTAACCTAACAGTGTAACATATGCTCAAATAAATTAAGCCAGTGTCCTCATCAACTGCAAACATCTACTGCAGTCTATAACTGAAATAACACAATTTATAAGTGAACATTTTTGCGTTTGAAACTACTTCCAAACTTCCAAACATTCTCTTATTCTTAAACATAAGCTTTATGTGCAAAACATAACTCCAGAGTACATATGAGAAAATGCAGTTGGTGACAGAAAAAAAAAACTGTTTCATTGAATCACAATCGTCAAACAGACTTGACTTGAACATGATCTTGAACTGGAGACTTCACTTTAAGCTTAATACATGTATGAAACCAAAATTTACAGGCTGCTAAGATGTTAACATAAACAACAGTTCTACTTTCTGTGCTGAGAATGTAACTGCATAATTAAAACAGCAACACACTGAGATGTACGTAACATTTTGGGGATTTATAAAAATTACATTGTGCTGTTTCAAGTTTAGGTACTTTTGGACTGCTTTGGTTTTGCCGACTGATAACCAACTACATACTTAGAATATTACAAAATGGATCCCAAAAGCTAGTCTTCCAAAATGGTACTTCCTACAGGAATTTTCTTACATTAAAATTCTACATATAACTTCGGATTTCAGGTAAAGGTAAAGTTGTCTGTATGGTTGAGCACCATAAAAAGTGGAGGTACAGCTTCAAGCATTTTTAAACCCAGCACTATTTAGAATCAAGCTTACAAAAATGTTAAGTTATTATGATGTAAAATTTTTGTTTCTTTGTCTTTGTATGAAGAGGTATCAGGTTAAGAAACCAAGGCGCTATACGGCTACTACGTGACTGTTTATTTAACTACCATACGCAAACTCACAGAGTGTAGCACTACTTACTCCCAATCAATCATACCAACATAACACAATTTGAATCTAAATTTCATCCTGTTAACACCTCTCCTCGAAATTATAGAATTCAAAGTAATTTCAATTGTATATAACCACTTAACCTGAACACACCTATTGTTCAATCACAAAACACAAAAGTTAAAGTTCTGAGATAAAAATCAAAAGTCATAAACAAAGTTCACTTATCTTAAATTAATGCAATCTTAAGGTTCAGTTAACATAAACCTAATAATGCACTCAATTTCACCTGTTACTTCACGACATGTTTCGGCAGCATAGTGCCATCATCAGGTGCCCTAATTACGCTAAGCTATTGCATTGCTTGCCATTATATGTCTTTATAATATTATTTAAAAAGTATTTTAAAAGTGCGTATTCGTCAACTATAATAAATTTACACACAGTAAAACTTGTTAAGATTATTCATCTTATGTGTCTTAATTAAAACTTTTGTGTGGTTCTTCCACTATGGGGGTCGTTTTTCTTATATTCTGTGTACAACCGTGTCTTGTGATGTGTTCCCCTTTTTTTTAGCTGCTAAAAAGGGAACACACATCACAAGACACGGTTTACACAGAATATAAGAAAAACGACCCCCATAGTGGAAGAACCACACGCAAGTTTTAATTATGAAACATAAGATGAATAATCTTAACAAATTTTAGTGTGTGTAAATTTATTATAGTTGAAGAATACGCACTTTTTAAATATTTTTAAATAATTTTATAAAGACATATAATGGCAAGCAATGCAACAGCTTAGCGTAATTAGGGCACCTGATGATGGCACTATGTTGCCGAAACATGTCGTGAAGCAACAGGTGAAATTGAGTGCACTACAAGACGGCCACTGTATACATATCGTGGACGAAAATCAGTACAACAGGACGCTAAAATACAACATTAAACGTAATTATCTCGCAAATTCATTTGTCTTGGGACCAGAAAGTGGTTTAGTAAAAACATCAGCAAGGTTTTAACATGACTAGACATATACAAATGTGATCTTACCAGCTTTAACTAGTTCCCTAGAATAATGGTACTTAATACTTATATTCTTAGTCTTACCTGATGTATTTTGTGAATTGGCAATGCATACAGCTGATGTCCTGTCTGCATATATAGCACATGGTTTGCCCATAAGATCGTCCTGTCCTAACTCACGTGGAAAGTCCCTAAGCCATTCGAACTCCGACACACACTCATACATTGCCATGTACTCAGAATGCATTGAAGAAGGTACAACTCGGCTTTGCTTCTTACTACGCAAACATATTATGACATGTTGCGCATATGAATATGAAACAATGTCCTACAGAACTCTACAGAACTACTATGCGACCTATGTGACTGTTTATTGCACTACTGTACGCAGACTCACAGAGCGCAGCACTACGTACTCCCAATCAATCATACCAACATAACACAATTTGAATCTAAATTTTGTCCTGTTATCACCTCTCCTCGAAATTATAGAATTCAAAGTATGTAATTTCAATTGTATATAACCACTTAACCGGAACACACTTTTTGTTCAATTACAAAACACAAAAGTTAAAGTACTAAGATAAAAATCAAAAGTCATAAACAAAGTTCACTTATCTTAAATTAATGCAATCTTAAGGTTCAGTTAACATAAACCTAATAATCTGGCAAATTCCTTTGTCTTGGGACCAGAAAGTGGTTTAGTAAAAACGTCAGCAAGGTTTTAACAAGACTCGACATATACAAATGTGATCTCACCAGCTTTAACTAGTTCCTTAGAATAATGGTACTTAATACTTATATTCTTAGTCTTACCTGATGTATTTCGTGAGTTGGCAATGCATATAGCTGATGCGCTGTCTGCATATATGGCACATGGTTTGCCCATAAGATCGTCCTGCCCCACCTCACGTAGAAAGTCCCAAAGCCATTCGAATTCCGACACACACTCATACATTGCCATGTACTCAGAATGTATAGAAGAAGGGACAACTTGGCTTTGCTTCTTACTACGCCAACATATGACCCCTCCTGCTAGTATGAAACAGTATCCTGAAATAGAAATACTGTCCATCTTATCAGTAGCCCAATCAGAACCTGTAAACACAACAGTCTCCTTGTTTGTCTTACAAAAATGTAATCCGTAGCTTTTGGTCTTCTTTAAATACCAGAGGATGTGCTTAACATTATTCCAGTCTGTGACAGCAGGGTCTTCGCAGTGTTGGCTAACTATTCAGACAGGATTTGCGATATCTGTTCTTGTAATAGAGCTTAGATATAAAAGAGCAACAACCTTATGGTAGATTGACAAAATTTCTTCTCAGTATCCCTATTGGTGTTAATACATGCAACTTCCAATGGTGAACTAAGCCCTTTAGAGTTTCCCATATTGAATTCACCTAACAGCCAGTCAATATATTCTTCTTGCTCTAAGATTAACTTGCCACTACCTCCCTTTCTGATATTTATGGACAAAAATTTTGAAACTTCACCCAAATCTTTCACATCCAAGTTATCTGATAGCTTCTCTAGAGTTTCTTTCAATCTCTCTCCTTTGCCAATTAAAAGCATATCAACAACATACACTGCTAAAACAATTGTTTCTTTACATATACACAATGGTCCTTTACAAACTGTTTAAAACTTACTTACCAATTATCAATAGAACCTCCGTCGAGTGTAACAATATATATTCTTGTCACCATTTTCTCACATTTGCCTTACATGTTTCGGCTCACAAAGAGCCATCATCAGAGGCAACCACAACAAAAACATGGAAACACTTGCACTGCTCAACAATCACAATATACAGTTTTTTGTGGAAGATGTTACACGTATCGGAGCGTAAAACACAACAACATCCAGTACCCCGAGTGCGGGTATCCCATTTGCATTTAAAATATCACCCACAAAGCGGGTCGTTAATGTTAAAATTAAAGTTAAAACCGTCCAAGTAAAATATTCAGGTTCCTCTTAGTGGATAGTCCCAATGGGGGAGGCGTCAGCACGAGGTTGTGTGGGCTNNNTAACGGACCAAAATGAAACAATTCAAAACTTACTTACCAAGATTCAATGCAAATGATTGTTCCAGTTCCTACCTGACTGCTTAAGGCCATATACGCTCTTTCGAAGCTTACAGATAAAACTGTCTCCCCTCTCCTCAAAACCTGGGTGTTGCTTCATATAGATCAGATTTTAAACTGTGCTATTCAGGTAAGCCCCAATCACATCTATATGTATCATTCTGCCACATGAGATATGGTCTTTTTCAGCTGGATGTTCAACAAAGAAAGGAAAATGGTTGACCAATCGGTGTTGCTAGGGTACTTAAATCACGGTTAGAAGTTTTACATCAACAATCAATCAGAAATGCCTGTAAACTTTTTTATTTGTATTCTCATGGTAATAATTGCTGAAGCAGTCCACTAACAGAACTTATGACAAAACACCTGTAAGGAACATGAAGCTAAAATATGGAGGAAAAAAGAACTCAAACAGAATAAGTATTGTTATAATTTATTATGACCCTTTGAAAGCTGCTGTTTATACATACTTGACCAATGGCTTCTGAACATGAGCAAGAACAAACACAAGTCCAATTTTAATAGAAGTGGCTCCACAATACACTCCAACCAATAATCACAAACTAGAGCCTGCACTATTTCCTTATCACTGTCAGTCTATTACTTTCAGAACTCATACACAACCAGCTTAGTTTACATAATACAGAAAATGTCCTCTGGACACAAAATATATGTATAAAAAACTGAAACCGAACACTAATACAATATATTTTAATGTGTACCCATAGTTATATAATAGCATCTCTAAACAACAAAAGTATTATTGCAATTAAATTTCAATAACCTTCATGACTGCAAAAATAAAATGAATACAATTTTAGTGATTATAGTCCAAACAGGAGCCTAGGTAATGTTCCTGGCCATGTGAAGACAAATGATGAGTGGGCCAAGTAAAAACAAAGAAATGACAAATGTGATGCAATACCAGGAAATTAAGCCCACATCCCTAAACACTTCTCTTTTTCAATATTCTCAATCATCTTACAGGCTTCAGCATTAAAAATGCAACCAAGGAATTGCAGTTCTCTCAAAAGACAGCCACATAAAACAGAAGGGTAGCAAAACAGAGTGAAAAATGGGTTTTACAGCACAAGACAAAACCGCGGAATGTCAACTTTAGCTGTTGAAGTTCTACATTTCCTTCCAAAGCTCCAACTATTATACCAAATTTTCAAGATCTTGCTGGAAGAGATCAAAACTATTCTTTAAAAAAATCCAATGCCTACACTGTCATAATTTCTAAATTTTCTGGTGCACTTTCTTGTTGTACAATCTGCAACTTGTTCACAATATAGCTTTGTAATCCCCCCCACCTTCAAAAAATTCTCATCCCAAGAACTGCAGCAACCAATACATCAGTCTTTCAACCAACAACATATCTTCAGAACTTCCTTATTTAAGTAACGTAACTGGATGCAGAAAACACGAAGAAAATGATTAGAAAATCAACCTTGGGTAAAGAATTATAACTACACATTAACCATTTTTCATCCATGGAAATGTCATATGAGCACAGCTCAGGAGAATGACAGTAAATTCACTTTCCAGCCATTCTTCAATTAAACTAAGAATTTTCTCCATTCTTCAAGATGTAAAAATTGCCTTGTACTTAGCTAGTAGAATACAGCACATTTTAATGGTATTTTCTTCACTGCTTTTTAAAAGGGAGGGGCTAAATTGGTCTTGCTTTGCTGCTTCAAGTTCCGCTCACGAACACATCCAACTTCCTTATTTGTCACTGTATAAGTAAACACCAAAATGCTCACTTTTCATAAATTCAAGTCCCATTAAAATGGATATCAAGTCCACTGCCTTCTGGGGAGAATGCAACCAAATCAAAACTGTAGTAACTAATAATATTGTTTTGTGTGCACGCTCCATCTGGTATCTTTACCGTAGTTTCTCTCACACACACACACACACAGACACACACTAGGCCCCCCTATCCAGGCTGTTCCATTAACACATATGCCACAAAGAAATATCACAATTCTCATACAATCCATGGAAAATTCTCATGGCTTTATTTTTAAACTCTATGCTTTAAAACAAAAGCACCAAATACATGCAATTTGAAATATGCTGAAAGAAATGTAACAATGTTTCGTACCATTTTATAATTGCAGGACAAATTAAAATACAACCAACAGGCATTATATCAATGGATTTTAAGAAAAATGTGTGATGTGATACAGATCTGTGGCAAACACAATCAATGTAGCCAGAACATCTTCAAGACCTCTAGGAATAAAGTAAATATTTCCACTTCCTCAGCACAAGTCAACTAGCAATATTTATGAAATCCCAATTGCACTTTGTGCAGGAAAGAGGAATAATAAAAAATATTTACTTCACTGCTAGAATCACCTTGGAAATATAATTTCCACTGTGATAGTGTGTCCCCAACTCTTCTTTTCTTCCCAACGCTGTTGCAAGGTAGAGGAGCGGTTTGGCTGCTTGGTACTCAAGTGTGGCGAGATTTAGCGATTAGCATTCTTCAGCTGGTTGGACAACCAGTCAAGTCCCTCATACAGGCCATCACCACTGGTGGCGCACGTCGCCTGGATGTACCAGTTGCGGTTTCGCAGAGAATGCAGGCCCAGCTTGTCTGTTATTTCTGCAGCATTCATTGCATTCGGCAAATCCTGGAAACATACAATATAATAATTCCATTCAGAACTAGTATATTGAAATTAGGCATTAATATATGCTACTTCTGTCTGGAAAAGCTGTCTCAGTCCCGTCTTGAAACAAGTTCACCATCACAGTAAAAATATATATATATGGGAACAAGGTTATCATCATGAACAGCTGCGGCCAGAATTTTATAACTCTAAACTTAACCTTCAATACTCAAATATTTTAGGAATTCCACTTCATAACAACAAATTCCTCTTTGACACTCCTATGTAATTCGATTAGTGAGAACTTATCACCAAGTGACCAAGGATGGTACAAATTATTTAACATAATGAGAAATAGTACAGCAATTTTCCAGGTGTGGTAAAAATCGGATCATGGATCAGCAGCAATCCAATGGATCAATGATTGAGAGAAGTCTCTTCCATGAGCAAAATACTGTAAATCTACACTTCTCAAAAAAATTATACAGGGGGACCAGTAAAATATCTAAATTGTCACGGACCATTAAATTTGTAGTTATAGCTATGCACCAAATTCTTCAATAAACATGGTGTTTGTGCTAAATGCACACACTACGCAGAAAAAGCCTGAGGCAAGGAGGTGGTGCAAGGAGGTGCTCTTAACATGGAGATAATTCATGGAATAACAGCTGGTACTGGAAATTACTCACACCAAAAAACAATATTCATAATACGGAGAGCAGAGACAACATTGCATCTACAGTATAAAATTAGGAATGTAAGCTATGTATGCACACTGAAGAAATATCAACCATTCTGGTGTACACATGTCAGGGGCCACTTTGTAACAAGTACTATACCAGTCCAAAACACTGTCAAAGATTATACAAATTGGATTACCAAAACACAACTCTCTTAGAAGCTGAGCTAGATGAAGGAAACATAGAAGCGTAAATACAACGTTCATAGACATTTTCATACATTACTAAAAAAATTGTCACTGGAAATTCAATGTATTTGTTTGAAAGCAAATTATCTTATAGGTTAATTTCAACTTCTTAAAATCATGAAGTTCAACTCTCAACGCTTTTAACTTCACATGTTACACACTCTCCACTTTAGTGAAACCTTTTATGTTTAACACTCATAGGCGGTCTTAGAATATCAAATATTTCCCAATACAGTATTAAGCAACTGGTCTTTGTAATGAAAACAACACATTCACTGCCATGCTCCTGCTTCATCAGGAATTAAAAGAAAATATATTCAAAAAGATTGACAAATGCTGGATATATACACTCTTTAAAGCTTCAATAAGCTACACTGACAAGTGTCTCTGTAGTTGAGTAAAATATGTAAGAGAAAACGGCATTTATGTACACAATCACAACAGCTGGTCACTTGATGGAAGTGGCATTTGCACTCACTAAATCTCAGCTTAATGGGTGATGGAATTTGCAGTGAATGTGCTAAATACTCTGTGGATGAACTGCAGACTTCAAAGGGCTAAACTCTTTATTTGCATCAACCACTATAATATACAATACAGCAACGCAAAGCAACAGAACAGTTTCCTTAATACACTGTGTTGAATGGAGGAAACTTCACAACACTGCTGGATGGGAACAACACTCCTCACAAATTGCTGCTGTAACTGCCGATAGCAGAATGAGTCATTAGCACTGAGAAACACGCACCGTTGGGTGGCATGAACTTGTCTCTGCAGTTAAGTCACATTAATAGTCACTCTGTTAGAGATGCCGACATATATATTGAAATGAAGTTCACTACTGAACAGCGTGTGTTTATTGCTGGAACTTTTGCAACAAAAAACTTACAGAAAAAATATCCGTAAGTTTCGTCATAAATATCCCGATTCGCCAGTTCCCACAAAGTCACGTGTATTCACGCTTGTGAAAAAGTGGCGGGCCACAGGTTCAGTGTGTGACATAAAGAAGCAATCAAAGAGGATTCTGCTGACTGAAGAAAAAGCTTGGGATACTGAGTCATGACTACAGATCAGTCCTCAAAAATCGTTAAGACACTTAGCACAGGAAACCAGTGTTTCACTAGGATCTGCTTTCACAGCCACAAAATTAATCAAATTTTGCCCATATAAAATAACAGTGTGCATGAGCTGAAACAACCAGATTATGCAGCAAGAATTCGTTTTGCAACTGACTGCTGCAAAATGTGCACGATAGAATCGTGGATTCACAGCTTCTGTTCATGACTGATGAGGTGTGGTTTCACATTATTGGTCATGTCAATGCACAAACTGTAAGAATATGGAGCGATGAAAATCCTCACGCTATACAGTAAGTGCCATTACATAGTGAAAAGATTGGGGTGTGGTGTGCTTAAAGTCACCGGTGAATCAGTGGCCCCTTATTTTTCCACAAAATCGTGAACTTTGACCACTATGTTTATGATATACTGAATGCATTCTTCAAAAAGCTGACTGTTGAAGAAAATATGGGTATTTTCTGCAAGACAATGCAGCATATACGACTAATGCATCCATGGTCGCAATAAGGGACGTGTTTGAAGACAGAATAATCAGCAAGTGACTGTGGCCTTCCAGATCTCAGTTTTTGCGATATTTATCTTTGGGGAAACCTGAAGGGAAAAGTCTGCACGAATAATCCTTGCACCACTGAAGCTTTGCAGAATGAAATAACACATGTCATCAGTTCAATTACCATTGACCAACTTCAAGAAGTGTTGCATAATTTATTTATGCGATGCAAGGCATGTTTGCAAGCAGGAGGTCACTTTCAGCACCTGTTATAAAGCGAGGTAAATTTGTGTTATCTTTTTACGGTATTCTTATAATGTGTGCATGTACAGAAACTGACGTGAGGGAACAGTCGAGGAGAAATGAGCCATCTGCTCTACGCTAGGGAGAGTGCACGCGTTTATCTGCACTGATGACTCATTCCACTACCAGCAGTTACAGCAGCAATCCGTGAGAAATACTGTATCCGACTCACGCTACTCTCCCAGTTTCCTCAATGACTGAACACCCTGTACTAAAAGAAACCAGACAGAAGAAACACTGCCCTCACGCATGCAACCCATCACTCTACAGCATACCTGAGGAGGCATCTTGTAAGGAATTATAATTGGCTATTCTTAAAATATTTCAGTATGCACTAGTGCCTGCTTCCAATCACATTACACCACATGCATAACTCATTTCAGTCTACCATACCTGTTTGTTTGCAAATATAAGTAGCACAGCATCTCGTAGTTCGTCTTCTGCCAACATTCTCATGAGTTCTTCCCTTGCCTCCCCAATACGCTCCCTGTCATTGCTGTCTACTACAAAGATCAAACCCTGTAATAACGAATTCAAAATATAATTTGAATGTAAAATAAAGTAACCAGTTCACATGATGCAATCAGATATTATGCGAAATGTAAGACCAAAGTTTACAACAGATTCACTTCAACATTATGGATATTTCACAATCTATGCAAGTAATCAATCCTACTATACTCATCTGTCATATATATTAACCTGAATAACACTGAAGATATACCATATTTAATCCCTGTAACTGTAAACAGCTTGGTATCAGATTGACTGTAATTACTTGCATGAATGTAAACAATTTACACACTACCATAGTGTTAAAGCAACATACATCTCCATTCATCCAAACAACTGTGGATAATCCAATAATATGCAACATATAGAATGGCATACATTTTGCAAGTTTAACCCTTATCCTTCAAGTAAAATTACTCTTGGCTTCTAGCACTGGCACACAAAATGAGAAAGCATTGATAAAGAACACAATATAATGCCTAAATGTGGCAGAAATAGCTTCATTAGTCACTGCACTGTCTGCCACTTATTATACATAATAAAGTCAGACAACAGCTGAATAACTGTTGCGAAAAGAAATACAAAATAATCTAAACAAGAAGTCTGAAATAGTGGAGGGATGTTTAACAGGAGTACTTCTAGATCTAAGGTCACATATTTGCTATCAGGGTCATTAATTACAAATCTAAATTAAATTTTAATGTACACTGACAACAGTAATGTCAATTTACTGACTTCATGAGTTATGTTTTCCCGGATATAACACCATGCAATGCAATGAAAGTCAGGGATGAGGAGAAAATCAAGAAAGAAACCAGTAGGAAGCAGGCAGGTCTGCTTGTTGCCTGCTTCATGCTCATTTCCTGCTTGACTTCTCTTCAACTCTGAGGATATGGCAACGTGTTCTTCCAAAATGTCAGCCAACTTTCAGTGGACTGCATAGCATTATATCCTAGAAGAAGCAACTCTTCACCAACACCACTGTGAGAACCTCAAATCCTACAACTTACTGAGTCTGTTGAATATTAAATGATCCTTCCATCACTGAGTAACTCTGGTAACTGTGAGGGTAGGACCGCATTCATTACATCATTATTACATACTGAAAGTAACCAAACTAACTGTGCTTCTCTAGAACAATATGCATTTAACTTTGCCATTACCAAAACTTAACATCCCATATTTACCGTTCATTTTAAATACAGCCCTACATTCCTAAGCAAAGGCCATTATTATTTTACTCTAAAAGTAAGTTCATCATAAAGCGAACTAATATTGCACAATTCACCCAAACTCTTCTAATCATGGAACACAAGCCAACTGCACTTTCACTAACAAAATCTTCATCACTGTATTCAATGTCATCAAACAAGCCCCAAAATTATTACATTATTCTTTTTCCAATACTGTTAAGCCTCTTTGATTATCTACATCCTGCTTTGTCCACCTCCCAGACACCACACTCACTGCTGCCTACTGACATAATCTGCTACTGAGAACATGTTCTCATTTCCTTCTTCACATCAGTAATTTCCTTGTTAAATATATTTCTAAACCCAGTATTTAGATTCCTGACTATCGCCACCACCACAGTCATAATCTGATCCAACTTTCCTACACAAATCTATGAATTTGACATTTCTGTTTTGGGTCCTGGGTCCAATTCCACATATCCAATCACTAACAGTGCTGCCACTCTACTATCTGCCAGTCAATTCCATCTGTACACTGATAAGCATTTACTGGATCTAAAGATTCCATAAATGGTTATTTTAAGTGAGCAGAAAAAAACTGGGGCCCCATACTTTTTACTTATGCAGTTAAATTACAAAACCAACAAACTGTACTGTTAGCACCCCAATTTTTATTGAAAGCTCTTCAAAAGGAAGCAAAGACATACATAAACAGTGCAATGAAACAATGTTCTGCTACAACCTCACAGTACTCCACAGTGTGTGTGCAATGCATTTGTTAAATTCAGTCAAGCAGTAAGATGGACACTTTCTTGTAATACTGACATATATGACTCCCTTTGCAATCTACACAGTGTGTCCAGGTTCTGTTAGGACTGTGTTCATTAAAAATACAAGATGTGAATTATTTTCAAAATTTCACTCTTTTATTCAAAATAGTCTCCTTCTGAATCAATACATAGCCGGAATCGACTGAAAAGTTTTTGAAAACAGTCACTGTACTATTTTTGTGAAATCGCATTTAAAATTGCAGCAGATTCCCTTTGGATGCCCTGGATGGTGTCGTGATGGTCTCCTTTCATCGCAAACTTAACTTTTAGGAACAACCAAAAATCTGCTGGAGCCAAATCTGGCGAATATGGAGGATGATCAAGGACTATGATCCCTTTTCTGGCCAAAAAATCACACACGATCTTCGATTTGTGAGGTGGGGCACTGTCATGGAGGAGCAAACAGGAACCTTGCTCTCGATATTCAGGGTGAATTCCAAGAATTCTCGCCCACAAATGATTGAGGACTCCGAGATAATAATCAGAATTCACTGTCTGACCTTCTGGCAGAAATTCCTTGTGACTAATTCCTTTGGAATCAAAGACAACGGTTAGCAGTGTCTTTACTCAACTCTTCTGCATGCGCACTTTCTTTGGTTTCGGCTTATTTGGGCTCAACCACGCTGCACTCTGCCGCTCTGTGAGAGGTTCATATTGAAAACACTATGTCTCCTCACCAGTAACAATCAATTTTGTAAATTTTGTATCACTTTGGGCCAGCCATAACATGCCTTTGCGCTGTTCCACTCTGGCATGTTTTTCATCACCTGACAGCGCATGCTGTATAAAAACCACGCAGACCTTCCGTTTGCCCAAATCCTCAGTCAAAATTTGATGCACAGTACTTTCTGGTATTCCCAAAAGCTCCTCGATGAATCTTGCAGAAACATATCTGTCTGATGCAAGGATTTCGGTCACTTCTTTCACATTTTCTTCAGTGCGACTTGTTCTCGGCTTTGATGCAGGTGGAGCGTCTTCAATGTCCTCCCTGCCATCATGAAATACAACATACCGTCAAAAAATGTTTGAGCAACTCAAACATTCATTACTGTACATGGTTTTCATCATTTAGTACGCTTCTCCGGCTGCTTTGCCTAACTTCAAACAAAATTTGATGTTGGATCTCTGTTCAACTGCCATTTTCCGATGAGCGTCAGAACACATGATGCAGCGATGTTTGCGCTTTGAAATAAGAGACAGCCACAGCTGAAACTTCAAGAATCTTAACGCAACTCGCCAACAGATGGCACTGCAGGGCAAAATTTAAAAAAAATTAGTCCTAACAGATCCTGCACACACCGTGTATGTGCCAAAGCAATATTTTGTTTATACAGCAAAAAACGCTTACAAGAAAGACAATGATGCTAATATTGAAGCTTTATGCCCCATAACAGACTTACCACTTGGATCATATAAAAAGAAAGCACTCTGTTGGTGAATTCAACTTTTACCCTTATACATGACAATTCCATTGCACCCTCATCTAACATAAAGATGACACTTCTAGTGCAACCATCTCAAAATTATCATGCAAAATACTGAGGTCTAGTATTGTGTTATTTGGGGGGGGGAATTTGACAATTTCAGTATGAAGACTATATAGTGATGGATAAGATAACTGTTGAGTTGGAAAGGGTTATAGAAGGAAATTGTTACAGCCTACATAACATACTATCCCAGCATTTCCCTACAGCAACTGAGGAAAATCACAAAAAAAAACCTGTCAGAATAGCTAGTAATTCAGCCAAGTTTCAGACTAAGCACTTTCCAAATACAAGTCTACAGTGCTACCAACTGACCAACCTGTTCTGAGGTAATGCACTGATTTATCCAATGTAAGATGCTTAATGATTTACAGAAAAATTGCCTTAAGTTTTCACAGGGTGTACCTAATGAATAAATTCTGTATTCTTATACTGAACTGTTCCAATATCACACACATACATTCAAATTCAACAACACTGCAACCCTAGCAAATAACCCTGCTAACCCTCCTGGCATCACCTGGGAGGACATCAAAAGAGTCAAACACCTTCACAATTACAACAGTGAAGACAGATACAAACTGAGCAAAGTTTGGCTGTACCTGTTCCCCTTCAAGCATTTTATTAACCATCTAGCCCCTTCCCACTGGATAGTATTACACCCTAACTCTTACTCCCATCTCCTTTTGCCTCATTCACCCTGATGATGGTGACTGCAATGTATGCTGAAATGCTGGAACTGCTTCAATACATGAAACAGCTAAATTCTCAAAAGCTCATGTTACACAAACAGGAAAATATCTTGCCATGGCTTTTTTTTCACATTTGCTCTCTTACAGCAACTGCCTATACTCTGTTCAAGACATTCTACAGCACTCCTGCCAAGCCTGGAAAATGGAAAGAAAGCATGGAACAGGAGAATTTATTAATGCTTTGTTTCTGCAATTCTTCTGCTTGCCCAACTTTAATCTATATAAATAAAAATGTAAATGTTGGTTTGTTAGCCCTTGAAGATCTCCGAAACTTCTTCACCGATTGCTTCCAAATTTTGATACAATATTGCATTTGAACACACGCGTTTTTATATACCTATTATATACATGGCACACCTGTGACAGGTTGGTTGGTTGTTAAAGTATTAATTGTACTCAATATTAATATACTGTAACGTGTTATACGTCATCCATCGAATACCAACAAATAGTTGCCTAGGAATAACCGTGGCAACGAACTGCTGAAACAGCGGAAATAATGCATTTCTGCAGCAACGAGCACAGAACACGTGAAATGGAACCCTGGGCGAAAGTGCCCTCTATTGCGTCCGAAACCAGGTTATAATAGTCCAGCTCCAAAGAGTTTTCGGTGATACTGGACGTGATAATAATTGTACTCGCTACTGTAAAAGTGAGTGTTCAATAACTTATTCGCTGAATCCGAGACGTGCGTGGAAGTTATTTGTCGCATTGAATAGGAGACACGTTACCACAACAACGTTACAT